AGTGCGCGGAGAACGTTGGTAGCGAGATGAGTGCGCGTGGCACGCTCCACGGCGCGCAATCTAGTCCGCAGACGGAACATATCCTCGAGGGAGGCTGCAACTAACCACCTCGATACCCGCACACCCAGACACAATAAGGGAGTGGCAGTCATACGAACCGAACGTAAGTGCCGATGGACCTTGGCCTGGATATAACGGGCAGTTCGATCAATGGGGGAGTTCACAAGGGCCGCCGCATCCTCATTCGTCGTGCGTATCATCGAATGGCACCACCATCCAGAAAACATACGAGCAGGAATACATTCATCACCAGTCAAGCCACCCGCTAAGCCCTCTAACTCATATAGTGCATAGTCTAATGCCTTGCACCACATCACCACCCGAAATTTCGTAGCTTTATCATACAGTCCCAGGTCCACGAACTCAAGAGAGATCCCCAGGTCACGTAGCTGAGTGAGCATAGTGTACTTCAACGCATGCCGAGGCCCCGCGGTAAGGATCTGCAAGGCTTCCCTATGCTGACGCCGAACCAAAGGGGTGACCCTCACCAACTGAATCCGATGCTGCAAGACGGAGAGGCAATTCGAGTGGAACAGACGGATAGTGGTCGCCAAGCCCAGCGAGAGAGAGCGAAGAAGACGAACTCGCTGCCAGAACTTATTCATCGTTTCCACCCAGGCCACCTCATGGGCCGACGGGCCAACCAAGAATCCGAAGTGCAAAACTCTGGTGGCGAAGCGGTCCGAGGCGAAACGGCTGCCTGTCCGAGCCATGTGGGCAGCGAGGGCATCTCCATCCAGCGCCCCGCAGATCAGGACGTAACATTTCCCCACATTCAAAGAGAGACCAATCGCAGACGAGAGCAAGTCGAGAAGCAGCAAGGTGGGCATGATACCGATGAATGTCACGCAGTCCAAAACAACAGTCATCAGCGTGCGCCAATTGGACACCCACACGTTCGGCACGGCGGGCACGGATCCGGCGCAGTGCAGGGTCAAGGGCCAGAGCAAAGAGGGTCATGGACGCAGGATCACCCTGCCGTACACCTCGTTCCACAAGGAAAACCGTTTCGGCTGCGCCCTCGAAACAGACCAGGGCCGTACTGTTGGCATACAGGGCTCTGACGAAACCCACAGTCTCGCTGGGGGCCCCCATGGCCACCAACACGGCAAAAACCCACTCGGCCAGGATCGAAGGGAACGCCGCCTTGAAATCGGTGAACAAGACCCCCGCTTTATCCCTCCCACGCATGTGTTGGATAAGGCCACATTTTTCCACTTCAACAACATTGTCCAGAATGTTACGCCCTCGAACCCCACCACGCTGGAGAGGATCTTCGCATCCGTATTCGCGAGGGAGAGCGGGCGGGTGGAGGCTGGTGCACGTGAGACAAAGTCACTGCGATCACGGGGGTCACTGCCCTTCGGGAGGAAAACCATACGACTAACTCGACACTCAGGGGGGAGAGCATCTCCTGCACTGTTGAAAACCTCCTCGTAAACCTCGAACAAAGCAGCGGTCGCCTCGGGGGCGTTCGAGCATCCATAAGGGATCCCATCAGGGCCAGGAGCATAATGAAATTTATGGCCGACACGGCCCCGAAATTCGTCAACGTCAAGTTTTCATCGTGGGGCAGGAGTGCATTCGCCAGTAGTCTGAACGTGGGCCAACATTTCTTGCCAATGAGTCGTGTCGTGACCAGCCTGTGCAAAGCCCTTCCTCCAATGGGCCACCAGTGCCGCAGAAGCCGCTTCTGGGGAGGCGCGCGGGGCCCCGTCCTCGTCCAAGACGCCTAGCAGTCCAGCCCTCCTCCTCATGAGATCCCACCCACGCCTAAGAGCCACCAGCCTCCGTCTCTTCTTGGCCCTAACCTCCTCCACCTGGTTACTGTGATCCATCTCCTCCAGCTCCGCATCAAACCAACGACCCTTCAAGGTCAGTGCCAAACTGTGGAGGCCATCAGGATCAATGCGCACGCCGCCGTCGACGTCGAAGAAAGGCAGGAGAGAGGCGTAGCAGCGAATGGCACGAAGACAGAAATACCACTGCCGACCCCGCCATCGACGGTATGCCATGAAAGCAAAGTGGAGCCGCTCCGCATCGTTGTCCGCTGGACGACACTTAAGGGACTTCTTAAATTCCACAGCAGCCGCACCGAAAACTTCTTTCACCCTTGCGAGTTTCTGGGCAGGGTCCGAAGGGGGCGTCAGCTCCCGCAGCTGTTCGGAAACCATCCTGTGGTAGTCGGCATGCTGGCTGATCCATTTCGGAACCGAGAATCGACCCCTCGGGGTCGGGAGGGAAACCGTGGCAGCGACGGGAATGTGATCGGGGGAGGCCCCTGGATGCATGAGGGTGCCGACAGCGTTGACAACAACGGTCATCTCATTGAGAATACCTGCAGGAAGGGTCGTGTAAATCCGATCTAATCTGGCCACTCCCCTCAGTTCCCGATTCACAATATCCCTTCGGGTCGGGTCGGGCTGGTATAATTCACACCAGTGGCTACAATGTTCCTGAAAATCATCACACTGCATACGGTCTCCAAGCCCAATCTCCCCTGGTACAAGAGACCTGCCATCTTCCATCGTACAGAAATTACAGCCCCCCAGAATGACAACCATAGAATGCGCTGCCGTAGGAGGGGCGGCATTGATGTGGCGTAAGTACTGATGATAGATATGGACGTCGTCGCACGTGTTAGGCACATGAACATTGGCCACGACCAAGTCGCCTCGAGGTCCCCGACCATGGACGAGTAACGCCCGCCCAGGAGCGACCGTAATCGGAGCGATCGAGTCGAAGCAGTCACATAGATCCGAGGACAAGAACGTCACCACCCCACCCGCGTTCCGGTCATCCAGAGAGCTCGCAAAAACAAATCCCAGTCCGCATTTCGTCCCGAAGGATAGCCAAGTCTGCTTCAGATCCGTGCGTCTCCTGTAAACACATGACCTGATACTGTAAGAGCAGCTGCTCAGCCCGAAGGAAGCGTGAACGTGACCGAGATGAACGAGACGAGAGAGAGGCAAAGAGCGCGCGCGTGTTCCAACTGCAGAGAGACAGAGGACGGGCAGGTCGGTAGACACCACCAGCTTCCCCAGCAGGCGGCGAGAAGGATACAGCACTGTCACTTGCATGGTGTGCATCAGAATTGGCAGGGAGGGCGGACGAGCACTCAGTAGCCGAACCCACTGGGCTTCTCCCCGCCGCACACTCACCTGTCGAACTGTTCCGATACTCACCGAAAGGGGCGAATCTCTGCGAACCTGGCGTGCAGACACTGTGCATGTTGCTGCCCACCCACTTCCGTCAACCCATCGATCTCGACGCCACGCTGAACGGTGCCCGCGGCGGGGCCATCATCGACAATCGAAATCTTTACCACTTGCACGGGGACTCCGCTGCCCTTCATCACATAAACCGCACCTCCTACTCCCGTCGACCCCACCTTGTCAGCCCCAAATATTCTGGAGACATGCTGGCGCATATTCCCAATATAGTAGAACAGCTTCCTGGATGAGGGGGTGAGGTCACGTCGGACCCGTAGCTGCAAGTCGGGGCCGCCCTCGGGGCTCGGGAAGGGGAACGTGCCCGCGGACGATGCCATCCCGTCGAACGTGGAGGCCTCTAGGTTGGAATCAAAGTCCAGGAGCGCCTTCTTACTGCAATCGTAGGCCTTGACCTGAATCGAACCCTGAGTCGAAGACGGAGCACGGCGGGTGATGATGCTCTGGACAGCCTCACGGAGCGTTTTCTCCATCAGCGGCCGAAGGAATCCAAGAACCACAAGACGCGAGGGGTTGCCCACGAGACCAGAGTCGATCTTCCGACGGACTTGCCTGTCATCATCCCCACGAGGTGTCGGGGTCCCCAGCTCGACGACTTTCTGAAGGTCCTGAATCTCATCGCGCATCGTCTGGATCATTCCTTTGAGCTCTTCACGAATGGCGGAGTCTGCGGTCTCTCGGTCCTGAATGCACTGGAGAAGAGCCTGTTCATGGATCGCTCGCATCTGCTCGAAATTGGCAGCCGTCTGTTTTGCCAATTCAGTGTGCGCCTGCTGTAGTGTCTGGAAATTCTTCTCAGCGGCGATCATCTGACCCTGGATTCCCGAAATCTGTTGGTTTATCTCCTGAACGCCGAGATTCAACTGACTGGACAGGCTTGCGACTGACGACGACAGAGGAGCAATCATAACACGCATGGCGGCAAGGATCTGCTCGGTGTCCCTCTTACCCTCCGAACATGTACCTCCAGGCGCCGGCGGGGGAGTACTCATCCCTCCAGGGGAGGCGGGAGGAGTGGATGAGAGAGACACGGGCCACGAGTCGCTGACCTCGGACGGCATTGCGGGAGGAGAGCGCGGCCTCGGCGGGCCAGGGGAGCGCGGCCACGGAGGGCCAGGGGAGCGCGTCCGCTCCCGGCCTTGGTGCCTGGCCACCAGGCGCCTCGAGAGAGGTTGGAAGTTAAGGAGCAGGCCCCTCGAGCCAAATGGCTTGAGCTAAAATGGCTACGGATGATGATGATGATGATGATGATGATGATGATGAGGATGATGAGGATGATGATGATGATGATGATGATGATGATGATGATGATGATGATGATGATGATGATGATGATGATGATCAGCCCGGGGCCCGAGGGGCCGTCCACCAACCTGCATCGTCGGGGTGCTGATGGCCCGACGACGCCACTTGTCGAGCGACCCATTCCAGGTCTGCTCGATCGAAACCGCGATCCCCATCCCGCAACCAAGGTAGCAGAGCCTGGACGCCTTCTCGAACTCGATGAGGAAGAGGAGGGGGAGGAGGGGGAGGAGGAGGAGGAGGAGGAGGAGGAGGAGGAGGAGGAGGAGGACGGAGGAGGAGGAGGAGGAGGAGGAGGAGGAGGAGGAGGAGGAGGAGGAGGAGGAGGAGGAGGAGGAGGAGGGGAGGAGGAGGAGGAGGAGGAGGAGGAGGAGGGAGGAGGATGAGCACGGGGGGCAACGCGGCGGCCTGCGGCGCGCAACCCGTGGACGCGAAAGACACGTTGGCCCGCCACGGCGGCTGCGGCAGCACGCCGGCGGCACGCCTCTCCATGGCCTCGGCGGGCGGGACGGCGGCCCCCGCGGGGGAGGAGGGAGGGGGAGGTGGAGGAGGAAGTGGAGGAGGAGGGAGAAAAGGAGGAGGAGGGAGGAGAAGGAGGAGGAGGAGGAAAAGGAGGAGGAGAAGGATGTGGAGGAGGAAAATGAGGAGGACGGAGAGGAGGAGGAGGAGGAGGAGGAGGAGGAGGAGGAGGAGGAGGAGGAGGAGAAGGAGGAGGAGGAAGAGGAGGAGGAGAAAGAGGAGGAGGAGAAGGGAGGAGGAGGACGAGGAGGAGGAGGAGGAGGAGGCACGGACCTCACTTCCCCCTGGAAGCCGCGAGAACGACCAAGGGGTCCAGTTCGAAAGGCCTCAGAAAACACACCGAGATCTAAGGCCCCTCCCCCCCCAGCCGTCGGAGCCTAGCCGTGCCCGACCTGCAGCTCCTCGAAGTAGGAGATGGCGGGCGGCGGGCGGCGGGCGGCGCGACGGGCGACGGGGGAGAAGAAACTCAGCGCAGAGGCGGGGGCCTGGGGTCCTCGGGGGGCACAGGGGCGGAGATCGGCGCCTCAGGCGACGTGTCCTCCGCGAGCTTAACGCCGGTCCTTGGGTGAAGCCCCCCCCCCTCGAGACGCCTGACGGCCTGCCTCTGGTTGGCAAGGGTCGACTTGTTATCAGCAGGGCCTTTACACTCGGTGAGCAACTTACGGAACGTGCCCAACTCGCCATGTGCCCCGCAACGTATGCATGCGAAAACCGCAGCAAACGAGAAACAATCATGTCCAAGCTCAGCACATTGAGCCAGCACGCTACTGGCCCCACTCTCAGGCGTGGGTTGCCTCTCGGGCCCCGGGGCTCCTAGGAGAAGCAAATCAGCAAGACCCAGAGCAGCCTTCGCGGCCTCAGCCCCGAGCGGACGGAACGAAGCGGCCCCAAGGCCCGCAAACCAAAGGTCGCACGCGTTTTGCTGGACAGGCGTGGGCTCACACTTGCGACTGTTGGCCCCAGTCACTTGGGCACGGAGAGACAATTCACTACGCGCACGCTTGCCACAACGCCTGCACCGCCACTCGCTGCGATCTGCAGCTTCCCAAATCTCATGCTCTGCGGCGGCGATGGTCGGGGGGGGGAGACAGAGCGAGGAGGGGCAACCGAGCTCGCCACCGCCCAGCTGCAACAAGTCTCTGCGCAGCCCAGGCTAGCAACTGCAGGGTGCTACGGTTGTCCTTCAGTTCACCTTGCATCGCCTGCGCATGCGTCTCGACACCGAGTGGGAAGAAGCGCCCAGCTTCGCGAAAACATCGGCCCATAAGATTCCCGCCTACGTTTGCAAACGCGCCCCCTCCTCCAAAACGTCGTCCAAACTTCTGCGGGCGGGGCGCAAAGAAATCAGGGGCCGCTCAAGTATAGGCATGCCCCGGATCCGTCTCCATATCCAGGCATGCTTGGCTGCTGTATCTAAGGCAAGTTCAGGACTCTATGAGTTCCCTTCTCGCACGACTGCCTGCAAGTCCGAAGCAAGCTTAGCGCGCGCTGGGGGACATTTCAGCGCCTGCAGCGCTGCCCATCGCTCCGCTCTACCGATGGTCTGCCTGAGGCCTGGGAGGGCTCTGTAGATGGCTCGAGTGGGCAACGGGGGCTCCGAGACTTGGACGCAGGCCCATCCCTCTCTGGCGACTTCGGGAACGGAGCTCTGGAGACAAGATCCATCCATATACGAAACAAGGTCCCAAGATCCTTTGACGCCCGAAAGTGGCACGCGGGGGGACTCAAGGAGGTCTCGCCAAGGGCTTGGCTCCTCTTGGGGTGCCCATGCGAAAAATACACAAAGTCAGCGTTAGGACACCCAGCCGCATCAGCACATAAACTGCAGAGTGCCTTGCGGTGCTCCAAGTGTCGCTCGGGAATCACATTGCCCCCAAACTCGTCACTTCCTTCTTTTACAAACTGCGGGCAACTGCACCAAACGTGGCCATGCGACCCGTCAGGGTCGCTGCATGCTAAACAGTTGGGCCTGGACTTGTGTTGTAGCCCATGCAATGCAAATTGTATGGCAGCGGGAGAACATTGGCACAAACAGCCGCAAACGCTCCTCGTTGCGTCGGACATTTGATACCTTGTGGTAGCATATTGCAGGGCCCGTGGCCATGCTTCGTAGTTGCTGCTGTCGTGCAGCGCAGGCCTGTGAGTAGTAAGGCGAGCGATCTGCCACCTATGGGTTCCTTCTATCAGCGCTAATCGGACCTCGTATGGCGATGCCGTCAGTAGTGATATGGTTCGCTCCTTGACCCGTGCACAACGTGTGAGCATTGACCATATTCCAGTTGATACGTAATAACGTCAGCCAGCAGGCCGGCAATGGACCCCTAGCCTGTTGCCAAATCTGATTTCTTCCTGGTGCCCCAGCGAGCTTAAGCCATGCTCCCTGCAACTTGCCAATTTCCAGTCTCCCATCCCATACTAACGTAGCGTACATGACAACGATGGATATTGAACAATCGTAAAACGGGTCGTAGTTGGGATCGGGCTGTAACATAAGGTATGCCGTTCTGCCTCCTTTCTTTTTTTGGAATCCGCAAGCAGGGCCGCAAACTGACGGTAATCGGCTAGGCTGGTGCCGTCTGCTTCAGAGACTCCACATCAATGCCCCGCCAATGGTAGCGCTCCAGTGCGCCGCAAACTGGAAGGACGCCCTCCGACGGCGTGTCTAAGGGCCAAATATTTCCGTTTGCGTTTCTTCAGGACGATATTACGCTTGTGTTGCTGTGTTCTCTTGGCCCGCCCAGACGCCATCTCGTGCCCCAGGTTCCTTGCCCAACAATGTACCAGAACGGATATCCTCTTAACAAATCGAGAGGCAAAACGACGTCCTAGATTCAAGCCGGCCACGAGACCAGACTTCTTGGCATGCGTGAGCAAGCCTTTGTCAATCATGTCCGCTGCGAACACTTTAGTAGCCTGTCCTAACAGCGGGACGTCACTTAACGAGTCAATCATTAGCTGTGTGGACACGTCGTCCACCAGCGCGCGAGGAACGATGCAAGGCGAAATGCTGGTTAACAGCATGCCTGTGGCGTGGTTACAGCCAGCCAAAATCCCCTGATGGGAGCAACATTGCCGCGATATTGACCCGTAGCATCGACGCCTGCGTGGTTGCCTGTGCCAATCCACTAGCATCCAGGTTAATCTCATCAGGAACTGTAATCTGCGCGCTTCGTCAAGCAAACTTTCTATGCGTACCATCTCGAAGTATTTCATCATGTCTAAGAGAACAGGCATGGATAGTTGACCAGCGAGCCTGGCCAGCTCGGCAACAATCTCGTGCGCGAGCGCGCTGTCTGACGGGCTGTGCCGACGTCTGGTGCCCGGGCCTCCGTGCATTGATGCTGGGCCTGCCGCTCAAACGTTCGGGGCTTCCAAATCTTGCCCCAAACACGAATGAAGCAGTTCATGTGTACAATGAAGCGGTGCCCCCCTTCTGGCCTGGCCAGCCTGGCCAGCTCGTTCGCGAATCTTTCGGCAGGCCAGTCCAGAAAACGCTCGCGCATTTAAAAGTTGTGCGATGGCTGCGAATGCGCTGGCTGGCAAGTGAATCAAGGCTCTAAGGTGAATGCCCATTGGCCCTGCCGCAGTCTTGGCGGGGTACTGCACGCGGCTAGCTGACCTGTTCCGCAGTGGTGGGCGGTAGCGTGGGCCAGAGATGAGCACCCGAAGACACATCCAGCCGTGGCGAAGCGTGTCTAATCCAAATGTCCGCCCAGTGGTCGAGCGTCTGATCAGCTAACTCAAAAGGCTGCGCTGGGGGTCCGGCCGCTATCGCCGCCTGCGCAGCCTTGAGTGTAGGAAAGCGGCGCGCCCGAGTGGTTCCTGACTGAAGCGCCTCCCTGGCCCATTGAAGCCATGCCTTAATGGCGGCTTGCTCCGCCCTCTGGACACTGGCCTGGGCCTCGTTGTATATGCTAACAGCTTCCCGCGCAAAATTCCCCCCGGGCATGCGCGGCGAACCCAGCGCAAAAAGAACTCCGAGGTGGCCCCATCGAGCTCTTGAAGGGCTTTTTTTTGTAGCGGGCGCTTTTTCCCACGAATCGCGAGAACTCGGCAACCATATCAAACGTATTGAAATGTTGCTGAGGCGTCAACGCACGTGCCGCAGCATATGATTGCAGTAACTTTACCTGCTGCTGGAAACGCTGACGAGCCTTGATGATGCGTTTGGCCCGCCATTAAGCCGTGGCCCAGGCTCGCGTAGACGGGCCCTTTATACGTTCTCTTCGTAGGGGGGGGGGGGGGGAACCAATTTCACCCGCTGGGCCTCCTGAGGCCCGCCGCGGCCCACGTAGGCTTCGGCGTCAACGCCAGCGGCGCCCCAACGTCCAACAAACTCTCTCTCCGCCCCCTCGGGGGCCAGATCCCATGCCGCACGCAATCCGTCTGCGTGCTGTATAGCGGGCAAGGCACCTGTCAGCGCATGCTGCCAGGGATAACGCGGAAAACGTGAGCATCCTACGGGGGCGCCGCTGGGAATTTGCGTGGCTGCTTGTAGGTGCGCGCCCATATGTTCTGCGCGCAGGGAGAGAATGACAGCTGCGCTGGCAGACGCGGGAATGTCAGCGCCTCCGCGCACGCTTGCACTTGCCGCGCCAGCTTTGGCACAAGCCAGCTGCTCGCTATGAAGTAATCGTAGACACTGCCGGGGAAAGCCTGGCGACAAGTCGCGGCGGCTGGTAGGACAGGCGCCCCGCCGACGGCAGGAATCCACTCGGCTCGCGAAAGGGCGTCAAGTTCCAGATTCCAACCACCCCCAACAATCCAAGGTACTTGACACCCGTTGGGGCGTGCTAAGAACTGCGACAAGTGCCGAATGATGTCGGAATTCTGGGCGTCCATGCCGACGGAATCCTTCAAGTAAACAGAGACAAACACTTCGCCGCCGGCACAGACGGCGCGGGCGCGCGCCGCGCGCAGAAGCCCGGGGGCGAAAACGTGAGAAGCCGTGGCGGGCGACACCGCGCACGTGATGTGGGCCTTCGTAAGGATGGCAGCCCCTCCAGTCGTGCCAGCTCCGCCCGCCTCATTAGGCACAGCTGGGGCCCACGGCCCTTTGAAACCTGTCTGCGCACTGGTGTTGCCTGTCTGCGAGCTGGCTGTCCGACGCGCGATGCTCTTGCACTAGCGCCACATCAGCAGAGGCGCTGCCGAGGTGCCCGAATAACGGACCGTGGCTACTGCTGTTAATAGTTACAAGAACCCTTCGCGGAGGCCGCGGTGGCTGCCGAAAAAGAGCCACCCGCCCCCTCTCCACCGTCCTTCGCCAAGTGGGGGCCTGTGGAGCCTGCCGTGGCAGCGATGCCGCAGCCCTGCCTGTCCTGGGGCGGGCGGCTCGGGGCCGCGCTGGCCCGGGGTGCCGAAATTGAAATCGCCGTTTCACTTGTAGTAGCCGTCCCTGAACGCGACGACCCTGTTGCCACGCGGCTCGTCGCCGCCGCCTCCGGCGATTCCCCATCTACTCCCGCAGGGTGAGCGCTACCAGGCCAAGTGGGCGAGCCATCGTGGCAAGGCGCCCCCGCGGTGGAGAGAGGGGTCTCCGCCTTCTCAGGCGGGAGAACGGCAGCCCGAGCATGGGGGCGCCCAGCCTCGAAAGACGGCGCCACCGAAGTAGAGGAACCTGCAACCGACCTGGGCGCTGGGGAAATCGATGCACCTGTTGCTGCGCGACTGGTCAGCTCCAGCCCCAGCGGCATCTCCAGCGACCCTGCTGGGCGGGAGCTCCCGAGCCAAGTGGGCGAGCCATCGTGGCAGGGCACTCCCGCGGAGGGCCGCGAGGTCTGCGCCTTCTCAGGCGGCCGACTCGCAGCCCGAGCATGGGGGCGCGACATAGAAAGTGATGGGCCGCCCCTCGCTGTCACCGATCTGAGGGGCCTATCGGGGGGAAGAAGAGCAACTCCACCGCCGTGGCCTCCTCCCGCTGACGCTGCGCTCTGGGATTCGGTAAGCGATGTGCGCTGTGCCTCCAGATCTCCACCAGGGCACTCCATCGGGCCAGGAACAGACACATCCAAAGTTGCACGGTGCGGAATGCCGTGAACGCTCGGCCCAGTAGCAGGGGCCGACACTGCGAAACCATCGTGAGCATAGGCCACGCTGGCGCAACAGACGGGCATGGCACAAGCAAACGTCACTGGGCCCAGACCCTCACGCCTCCGATGCCGATGCGCTTGCACGAATCTTCTTGACCACCGTGAACGTGGCGGTGAGGTGACGCTTGAGTTGCTCGCGCAACTCCTGCTCCGTCTTCGCCTCATCCTGTTCATGTCCGTCGACTGGTGCCTGCTCTGCTGCGCTGTCTCCACATGTCTCCAGCACGAAGAGTAGCATCATCCATGGTGCCAACGTGCGCTGTTGCCTGAGCCCCCTCATCCACTTCCATGCCGTCGGCGCGGCCAGCCTCCCGTTCTGCAGGAGGTGTTGGAGGTAATGGTTCGCCAGGCTCTGGAACAGACTGAGCGGGCCCATCGCGTTGCGACTTGAGCCTCTGCGCCATCTCAGCCATCGCACGCGCGCCCGCTGCAAAAAACTTTCACTGGCGCCCAAGGATCGCAGCGCTGTGTCAAACTGCTGCATCGTCGCCTCGAGCCCATGCATGAACGCCTGCAACGAGGGCTTGCCATCTTGATCACGGGGGAGCGTTGGCAAGACAGCCGGTCGGAATCTTTCTTCGAGATCGGCAGTGTTCTGCTCGAGCTATTCTCGTTCTTTGTGTAAAGCCTTCAGGCTAGCCTGGGCAGCCGCCACTGCCTCCTCGGCCGCGCGCTCCTTATTTGCGAGGCCCGCGAGCTTGGCCTTGGAGGTCCGTCGCCTGTTGTTGAGGTTGGCCGCATTGGCCTCTTGGGGCTTGGCGGCTGCCAACTGACTGGTGATGCGTTCTTCGGCTGCATCACCTTCGTCGTCCAGCTCGGCCAGGCTGCGACCCAACTTGGCCAGGCGAGCGCGCTTCTGATCAATGTCGCTGTCACCTGCTTGGGACCACGGAGGCGGCTCAGCTGAAGGCGTAGGTGGTGACACCTTGAGCTTGGCCATCTTCTTCCCCTGCAACTCAGCAACCTGCTTGGCGAGTGCCTCCTCCCGAACCGAAGCGAGACCATCAGCAAGCTTGACAAGGTTCTTGGGTGGCGGGGTCCCTTTGTAAACAGAACCCTTGTGGATACCGCATTGCCTGCGCGCCTTGCGGTCCGCCCTATTGATCCATGATGTGCCGCTGGGCTTGTGGGCGCACCACTTGCCCAGGGCTCGGCCTGGGCGACTCCCCGCTGGGGAGCCATGCTGCATGCGCGAGAAAGGTGCACCACAGCCACAGAGGAAACGTGGTGGAGAGGGCTGCGCGCGCGAGCGAGTAACCAATGGGAATAGATAAAATGCCCGCGGGGGGGCGGGAACTCACTGTAAGCCACCTCGAAGAGTTGATTACTTGAGCAAAAAAATTGCTTAAGCCAAAATGGCTACGGAAATGGAGGAGGATGAGGAAGATGAGGGAGAGGAGGAGGAGGAGGAGGAGGAGGAGGAGGAGGAGGAGGAGGAGGAGGAGGAGGAGGAGGAGGAGGGAGGAGGAGGAGGAGGAGGAAGAGGAGGAGGAGGAGGAGGTGGGACCGCACGGGGGCGGCGGCGGCGGCTGGGGCGCGTAGGTGGTGCGGACACGCGGTCCGCTACTGGAGGAGGAGGAGGGGGAGGAGAATGAGGGGGGGAGGAGAAGGAGGCGGAGGAGGAGGAGGAAGAGGAGGAGGAGGAGAGGGAGGAATGAGGAGGAGGAGGAGGGGGAAAACGAGGAGGAGGAGGGCGGAGGGCGGATGATGATGATGATGATGATGATGATGAGGAGGAGGAGGAGGAGGAGGAGGAGAAGGAGGTGGAAGAGGAGGAGGAGGAACAGGAGGAGGAGGAGGAGGAGGAGGAGGAAGGGGAGGGGAGGAGGAGGAGGAGGAGGAGGAGGAGGAGGAAGGGGAGGAGGAGGAAGGGGAGGAGGAGGAGGAGGAGGAGGAAGAGGTGGAGGAGGAAGAGACGGAGGAGAAGGATTTTTTTTGGGGTCGACCCATGATCAGCCACATGACTCCGCTGGCGTGGCGAGCGCCAGCGAGAAAAAGAGACAGGAGCGCAGCGGTGAAGGCACATCGCTGCGCAAAAGCGTAAAACCGGTGAGGCGAGTACCAAGTCTACGCCCCGCCGCGGCTGTTCACCCAAAACGGGTCCCTCCAAGCCACGGCCCTGTCACCAAAACGCAAGGTTCACACAGAAGCGAGCCCCACGTCTGCGCCCCGCCGAGGCCGTTCTCTCAAAAGCGAGTCCCTCCAAGCTTCGGCGGCAGTGAGAAAAAAAAAAAAAAAAAAAAAAAAAAAAAAAAAAAAAAAAAAAAAAAAAAAAAAAAAAGGGCGCACGTGCGCCACTGGGCCTGGCGGGAGCCCATCCCCGCCTAGCAGCCCGAACCACCCGCCAGCGGGGGGGGTGTGACGGGGAATGGACGGTGGCCCGAAGCGAGGGAGGAGCCGGGGAGAGGGGGGCCCCCAGGAGGAGGAGGAACCCCACATGGGACGCGCACAGGGACCCCGCGCCAGGAGGGACCTGGACGCGGGGGGGAGCCCGAGCCCGCCCCACACGAGGCCCCCCCCCCCCCAGGGAGAGCAAGCCGGGAGAGAGAGGCAAAGGCAAGGGAAGGAGAGCCGGCAGCCGAGGGGGGGAGCCAAGGAGCGAGGGAGAGAGGAAGCGGCCACCGCCCAACCCCCGCCAACCCCCCCCCCCAGGCAAGGTGGGGGGGATTTTAGTGCACCCCAGGGCCCTGGTCGAGCCCCCCCTCGCCAGGTTCTTGCCCTGGGGGCAGACGGAGGAGAAGGAGGAGGAGGAGGAGGAGGAGGAGGAGGAGGGGGAGGACGAGGACGAGGACGAGGACGAGGAGGAGGAGGAGGAGTAGGAGGGAGGAGTAGGAGGAGGAGGAGGAGGAGGAGGAGGAGGAGGAGGGAGGGAGGAGGAGGAGAAGGAGGATAAATATAATGAGGGAGGAGGAGGAGGAGGAGGAGGAGGAGGAGGGCGGATGGCGAGGGAGGAGAAGGAGGAGGAGAAGGGCGGAGGGCGGAGGAAGAGGAGGAGGAGGAAGAGGAGGAGGAGGAGGATGAGGAGATGGATGTGGATGAGGAGGACGAGCAGGAGGAGGGGGAGGGGGAGGAGGAGGAGGAGAAGAAGCTGGAGGAAGGAGGAGGAGGAGCCGGAGGAAGAGGAGTGGAGTGAAGCGGACGCCATCACGAGGTAATATTACCAAAACTAACGAGAACCGACACCACTCAGAGGACGAAGTACAGGCGGAAAATGTAGAGGAGGAACGAAATCCCAATCACCAGAGCTCTCACACACCTCGACCGACACGAATGGCTGCACATTCGTAGAGCGACAGGCTAAGCTGGGATGAACTCGAATCAATATGGCCCAGAACGGACGCGGTGGCGTGGATATAACACCAAGCAGAAACCGGTACGGACTTTGTCGGGCAATCCCAACCATCTCGAGAGAATGAGGATTATCTCCTCCACAGCCGGCTTTGCCCACGACAATAGCAAAACGTGCTAGGCATGAAAAATTGAGATACATACAGCTGGAAGAATGGAAGTGGAAACTGCACCCCCCATGTGAGCCATAAGCACAATGCCTCTGCCGTGGCAAAAGGGTGCCGAAAGACACGAGGATGCAATAAACCTCCCAGACCACAACGTGTACAGAACTCACCACAAAATTGACGTAGTACGCCCAGGGGAAGGTGGAATAAAGGCCAATTTGAAAGGGCACCATCCTCCCCTGGGACGGACCTTGATAAGGAAGTTCAGGACAAGGCGCAACTGGTCGAGGAACCGGTCGAAAACCGAGAGGACCCGATCAAGCACCTGTACGAGATTCCAGAACGAGTACCCGAATCTGAAAATCTCGAAGCCCATGAAATAAACATCGACCTCCCTTCGGCAACCCTGCTTGAATACTAATAAGCTATATTCAACGCGAAGGTGTCCCTCAAGCGCCGCGAGAAGGCGGGAGGCAAAGGAATGGTGCTACATCCGAGAGCCCAAAGATGGTACTACGGCGCGCCGCTCCCCTGTGCTTGAGGCCGGAGGAAGAGGAGGAGGACGAGGAGGAGAAGGAGGATGAGGATGATGATGCGGAGGAGGAGAGGGAGGAGGATGAGGAGGAGGAGGAAGAGGATCATGAGGAAGAGGAGGAGAAGGAGGAGGAGGATAATATAGAGAATGAGGAGGGAAATAAGTTGAGGATGATGATACTGATGATGAGGGGGAGAAGGAGGGAAACGAGAGTATTATGATGATGATGATGACGATGCTGATGCTGATGACGATGCTGATGATGGTGAGAAGGAGGATGAGGAGGAGGAGGAAGAGGAGGACGATGATGACGATGATGATGCTGATGATGCTGATCTGATGATGACGATAATGAGGGTGAGAAGGAGGAGGAGGAGAAGGAGGACGAGGAGGATATTGCGGAGGAGGAGGCAGGAGGAGGAGGAGGAGAAGGAGGAGGAGAGGGTGGAGAAGGAGGAGGAGGGAGATGAGAGGATGATGATGATGCTGATGATGATGATGAGGAGGAGGAGGAGGAGGGAGATGAGAGGATGAGGAGGAGGACAAGCTGGAGGAGGAGGAGGTGGAGGAGGAGATAGCGGAGGAGGAGGATAGCGGAGGAGGAGGAGGAGAAGGTCGAGAAGGAGGAGGAGAGGAGAGGAGGAGAAGGAGGAGGAGGAGGAGGGGACATGGAGGAGGATATGGAGGAGGATGGAGGAGGAAGAGGAGGAGAAGGAGGAGGAGGAGGAGGAGGAGGAGGAGGAGGGTAGAAGGAGGAGGAGGAGGAGGAGGAGGAGGAGAGGGAGGAGGAGGAGGAGAGGGAGGAGGAGGAGGGCGGAGGGCGGAGGAGGAGGAGAAGGAGGAGGAGGAGGTGGAGAAGGGGGAGGAAAAGGGAGATTAGAGGATAATGATGATGATGATGATGATGATGATGATGATGATGATGATGATGATGATGATGATGATGATGATGATGATGATGATGATGATGATGATCATGATGATGATGATGATGATGATGATGATGATGATGAGGATGAGGACGAGGAGGAGGAGGAGATGGCGGAGGAGGAGGAGGAGGAGGAGGAGATGGCGGAGAAGGAGGAGGATGAGGGAGATGAGAGGATGAGGAGGAGGATGAGGGAGATGAGAGGATGAGGAGGAGGAGAAGCTGGAGGAGGAGGAGGAGGAGATGGCGGAGGACGAGGAGGATTGGCAGAACCCCCTTTGTCAAGACGCCCGGCAGCAAGAGCTGCCAAAGGGCACGCCCTGTGCGCACGCCCAGGCCCTTTACATGGGATCCGGGCAGCTGGGGTCGGAGCATCGCACCGCATCGTCGATGCGTTGGCGATGCATCAGCGATGCATCGGCGACGTCTGCGATGCATCGGACCCGACCCCACCCACTCGGACTTCATCTGGGTGGCCTAGAACACGGCGATCCTCCGACCCCACCTACTCGGACTCCATCTGGGTGGCCTGGAGCACGGCACCGCATTCCAATGGCACCCGGGCGGATTCACTAACCGACGCCCGAAAACAGCCGAACGCATCCACCGAGACGCACTTCGATCGAAATCGACTGGGGACTGCTCTGGTGTACTCGTATGCCAATGTCGAGGGAACCCGTGTAGAGTTCCTTAGTTGACTTGTCTGGGTGGGCGTTCTCGCAGTGCCCGAGAGGCAAGACCAATCAACATTGAATCGGGAGATCGGATCGAATCGGGACGTGCCTCGGATCGACCCGCACCAATACGGAGTCGAAATCGAAATCGAATCGGATTGGCTGCATGTACCCGACATGGGCAACTGGCCATTGCCGAACTGTTAAGAACGAGCGGATCTATCGGAATACTTTAATCGAACCAGGAGCGATTTTTCGAATAAGCTTACTGATTTCAATGTGTAAGTGCATATCGACGGTAGTATTGGTATTGATGTCTCGGGGTGCCGAAGGACAGTGGTATGATAGGGGTAGAAACATAATAGGGTCGTCGCACTACTGCAATACGTTCGTCAACTGATGCATGTATAGCAGCAATACGGCTCTCCGATACGTTCACGTTTGGCTGACAGTATAACCATACGATGAGTATGACACGATGATTGTGTGTCGGACAAACGTAAAACCCACAATCGGGATTACAGTGAAAATGTATAGTAAGGACGCGTGGTAAGGACGCAAGACCCTTGGAGGCCGAACTTGAAGTATTCTGGGCGGCAGGCGGCCAAACCCCCAGGCACGCAAGGGCTGAGGCAGGCAAGGACCCAAGGGTATCCTTGAAAAAGTCGTTTGTCCTTACTACTCGCGTTGACTGTACGCTGATTC